ATATATATATATATAGTAAATTCTCTGACGGACCACTTAAACAAGTGGTCCATGGGTGGTGAATGAATAATGACCGTAGATTAAATGTTAAAAAAAATAAACGGTTGAGATATAATTTAATCAGTAAGTTTTAACAATTGCAGAGTAGTCCTTTAAAATTTGTTATTCAGGAACACTATTCATTTTTATTCAGGCACCACCGATGGACCACTTGTCTCTCTGGACTATCAGAGACATCACCTATATATATATATACACACTTTTTCTTTACTATTTCTTTTCATCCTTCTAATATATAATATTATTTCTCCTTTATTAAACCAAACAATCATATTTCACTTTATTTCTTACTTATTTTCACTTACCTATTTCTCTTTTCTCAATTTCTCACATATTTCTTTCTCTTCTACCTGCCATACACACCCACAGTGTTCATATCCAAGAACTTTTGTTGTGTTATAATTTTTTTTTTTTTTTTTAGTTTACATCTCAATTGATCATTTTGTCTCCAACTCACTGTTCGAGCCTAGTTATAACCTCCTTTGTTGAAAAAGTTATGATAAAAGAAGAAAAAAGGTACATTGATTGTGAAATCTTTGGAATATATGGTAGGTAGAAACATCACCTCTTTAGATCCATGATTAAAGACCACCATACTAAGACACTCCACTTTGCTTAAGCTGCCTCATAGTGTACATCAATACACCTATGCATTTGAGACAAACAAAGCAGATGTTTAGTTGTTGTCTTAAATAGGTGTTAAGATCTATGATCGCCAGAGTTATGTCGCTTGAAACATATTGCAAAATTTTTAAAAATACAACAAAATTTTAATCCGGAGAGAACTCGACTCTGCATTCACGTAGCAACTTTTTTTTCTTTAACCAAATGAATTTTATTAGGCACTAAGATTTCCTGTTGTAAGAATATAGGATCATTGAAGAATTGGTTAATTATCAAATCCGAAACAACATCAGGTGCTTGAAATGTCAATCAAAGAATACATTAATTTAGAATCTAATCCTATTTTAAATAGGATTTTCCTATGAAAACAGATACATGTGGGAAAAAAATATTACACTTATTAAGAATCTATTGGCATACAAGTTAAAAATGATCGATAGAATATGTTTTTTATAGAAAAACTTTCAAAATTTCTTTTAAACTTAGATATTCAACCAGACTCTGAGTCTTGATGAGAAAACAATCATCAAATATACAGTCTCAGTAAAACTGCACTTGAAATTGAACAACAACATGAAATCAATCAATCGGATCAATCCACATCAAAATGTGCAAATTGAACTTTGGTTTGCCAAAAAAGCAATCAACCTTTGTCACCATAATTTTGCATTATATTTGCTATATATGCTTCATAAAATTAGCCAGTTGAGTAATCTTAACAATTCACTTTTGTATGCTTTCTTGCTTCACCATGAAAACAAATTGTTCTTCACATGTCTTGATGTGTGAAGTGAATTCGGCATCACTCTTATGCCCTGTAGGCTCAACTGCGAAGTGAATTCATGGTTTATCAAATTCGGACCTATTTTTTAGAAATAGAAGCATAACCATTCTTAATAATTCCTTGCAGTTCTTAGTTTCTTGCCAGGAAGTCACAATCAGTAAATAGCATCACAATGGTTTTTGCAAAGTATTTTATTTTCTTCTCCAATAACTAAATTTCAATTGAATATTGAATCTTAAAAATGATAAAATTCAATTTGTGAATTTAAAATTTAAATTGTCTCTATATGAACTTCTTCCTTAAACTTATAAAGTCAATTTCACATAAATATTAAGGATGACAAAGTGGACTAAACCCGTCTGGCTAACAAAAATAGGCAAGGCGGGTGATCCAATCCACTAATTTTATTCTACCAATTTCGATGGATTCTTAATATAGATCACATTTTTCTCTTTTTATTTAATTGTGTAATATTCATAATACTTGAGTGCTACATATTAATGTATAATTATTATTAAAAATATGTTTGCTACATGTCTAAAAGTTAATTTATATTAGAAAGAAAATCTTAAGGGAGTGTTTGGTCAAGGAGAAACTTTTTCTTACCTAGGAATCATGATTTCTAAGAATTACAAATTCTGAGAATTATGATTCTTGTGAATAACTAAAATCTATTTGGTTAATCATAAAGGTTCCTGAGAATATTCATATAAAATTATCAAAAATTAAAGATTTTCATGTTTGATTACAATCGTATATTCTTGGGTATATAATATTTTTTTACAAAAATATATTTTATTAAAATAATCTCATTAGATATATTTATTTACTCAAATTTTATTACAAATATGACATTAAACTATTTTAAAAAATTAGAAACATAGTTAAAATTATTTAAATACATAATTCAATGAAATAATTAAATAAGGAAAAATAGTACATAATAAATAAGAAGGATAAAAATATATTATTTCATTTCATTCAAATAAAAAATGTTAACAAATAACATTAATAATAATATTATTAAAATTGATAAGTCAATAAATAATAAGATACAAGAGAGAGAAAGATAGAGAAAAAGAAATAGAAGAAGAAAGATTTTATATTTTGAAAAGGGATAATGTGGTTTATATATATATATATATAACTTTTTTTCTTAACTTGAAAAAATTGGATTTTCATCTCCTCATGAAAATATTTTCATAAAAAAATAGGATAAAAATGATTATAGGAAAACTATATTCTTGATAATCATTTTTTAAAATATTTATAAATATAGAAAACCAAAATTCTTAATTTAAAATTTTTAGAAAAATAAAAATATTTCTCGTACCAAATGCTCTTTAAATGTAATAAATTACAATTTTAAGTTTTAAAATATAATCAAAATTTTCTAAATAATGAGATAAGAAAAAAAATATTCAGTTATTTTTTTTAAGTATATTTTAAAAACATGTCATATATAAACTCTAATAGTATTAATGACCGCCATTACTTGGTAAACTAGCTCGTTCCATTCCATTTTTGACATATAGTGTGTGTTTGGTTTATCATTCGGAAGGTGGTAAACGAACATTAACTCATTCCAATGCACAAAACACCAAAGCAACTATATTGATGGATTGGAAAAAACGTGAGTTACGTTCAACTGAACATTTTTCCAAACACACCTATAATAGTGTGGCAAAACAAACTTTTCCACCCCCAAATTAATTTTAGTTAATGAACAATTTGGTTTTATAAAATGTAATATCACATAGAAGGAATGTTGAACTATCATATACAAAAATAGATGGCTGGGATTTTTTAATGTTTAAATTATGAGTAAAAATAGAAATAATTTTTATACTGTCACTTGCTTATAAATTATCATGTACAAGAAATTTATTAATTTTTATAATAAATGTCTCAAAAGATATATCTAATGGTCTAAAAAAAGATTACACTAGCAATATATAAAAACTAAACTATTAAAATATGGCTAAATTTTCATTAGCCAAACATTTTATTATTTGAAGAATCATTTACCTCTGCAATTTTACCCAGCACTATTTGACTAACAGGTGCCTTAGATACTCAAATATAACCTCTGAGATTAGTATAGTAGTATGAAAATTTAAATAATTTATATAAAATTCTACATTTAAAAGTTATTTTTACTATTGAAAAAAAAAAAATTTGCCCTAAAGAATAGAATCATGGAAAACAATTCTTTTGACGTGGTGGACAACTAATTTGTGTTCCAAAAATAATGATGGTGACAGGGTGTCTTAAAAGTAAAAATGTTACCAATCTATTTCATCTTTTTCTCTTTTATTTGTGAAAGAATCTTGGGGATCAATCGTTGGTGATCATTAAACCCTTTTCGAATTAACTTCTCCTTTTGGTAAGATGGTTTTTATTCAAATAATGCAACTTTAAAAACTGTTTATCACGAAAATTCAATCTGTTAATTATTATACGACAAATTATATCACATGATATGATATTATGTGTTGCGTGATTGAAATAATTTTATGTATTGGATTGTGATAAGTAAATGGTACTTTTGATAACACGTTGACGTAATTTCACGTTTTCAAAAGAAAAAAAAAATCCCCATGGATTTCACACACATGACACACCCATGAAAAAAATAGTTGTAATGAATAATTAAATGGTACTTTTGATAAATATTTTTTACTTACTTATTTATTTGGGTAGAAAAAAAAATAGTTGAAGGATAGTTTTGATACCCAGCAAATAAGTCCAATTGCAACCTCCAAATGTCTCAAGAAATATCACATTCATTGATAAGTCCAAACACCCTACGTGTCTCTACTTCATTGGTTTCATCCAACTACCCTTCAAACTCTTGCTACAACATTTTTAAATGATAAAATTTCATTAGAAATTCCTCTTCTTTTTTATTCTATAATTATTTTTCATTAATGTATATAACAATGTAAGATTAAGTATAGATAGATTCTGAATAACCCTAAAAAACTTCAACAAAAGTAATGAAATATGAAAACTATCCTTCATGGTTAATTTTAATTAGTTCTTTATATTTTTTTATAATTATATTTTGATTTTTATTGATAATTGATATTGAAGGTGTGGCATGGGAATGTCATAGTCTGTTCCTTAATTAACTAACGATGGCAGTTGAATCCACAGGCACGACCATGGGTCCCACCTCCTGATCACTGTCACAGAAAGAAAAACCTGTCACCGGCTAATGCAGGTTACGGTTACCTATAAATTCTCCAAACCTTAAAAACAAAAACAAAAGCAATAACAACAAAGCATCTACCTTTCACTTCACTTGTGTTGTGCTTCCTCTCTCTCTCTCTCTTCTCTCTCTCTCACCACTCCACACTGAGCACGGAGACAGTGGAACCAGAGACAAACTCAAAATAGCCATGGCTACCTTCTCTAAGGAACGCGAGAGCCTTGTCTATGTTGCCAAGTTGGCTGAACAAGCTGAACGCTATGATGGTTCTCTCTTTCTCTCTCTTCATTTTCACCACGAACACTCCTTCTAGTTTCCTCATTCTTGCTTCATTCCACTTTCAATCATGTTAACATCATCCTTTGCACCCACCCATTTTCTCTTTTCTCCTTATAACAGCATTTGGTCTGATAAAGTTTCAATTTTTCTATAAAAAAATCACTGCTTTTTCATTTCTTCATAGAACTGCTACTCTAGTTTACATGCCCATTTCACCCTCTCAATTATCAGGAAAGAAAATAGTGAAATTTGGATTTGTAGTAGTATTGTATGTTATTGCCATGTATGCCATGTTTTCTTGATTTCTATGGTAACTACTAACTACTTTCAAAGTCAAAGTCATACTTGGCATTGAAAGGGTGACAATTTACATGTCCTACATGACATGATTTCTGAGTGGATGAGGGTGTGAAAATTGAACTCTATGTTTATTTGTAATGCGTTTTGGAATTTGATTAAAGATTGTTGAGTGGTGTGCAGAAATGGTGGATGCCATGAAGAAGGTGGCGAAGCTGGACGTTGAGTTGAGTGTGGAAGAGAGGAACTTGTTCTCTGTTGGATACAAGAATGTGGTGGGGTCACGGAGAGCTTCATGGAGGATCTTGTCATCCATAGAGCAGAAAGAGGAGTCAAAAGGGAATGAGTTGAATGTCAAGCGTATCAAGGATTACATGCACAAGGTGGAATTGGAGCTGTCCAACATTTGCAGTGACATTATGATAGTTTTGGATGAGCATCTTATTCCCTCCACTAATATTGCGGAGTCCACAGTGTTTTATTATAAGATGTATGCTTTGTAGTCTTCTTCTTTGTGGGGTTTTTAACTTTCAAGTGTTTTTGTTTGTGATTTGCTAGCTTTTTGGCCTTTTAAGCCATTTTTTGAGTTTTTGACTTGGTGTAGGAAAGGAGACTATCACCGCTACTTGGCAGAATTCAAAAATGGTAATGAAAAGAAAGAGGTAGCAGATCAGTCACTTAAAGCATATCAGGTATTTGCTGGAGGTAACAAGGATTACCTCTGTAAAATGAGTTTGATTATATTACAGTGGTATTGACTAGGTTAGGTGAATGTTGCTGCTTTCAATGTTAGCAGAAAGTGTAGATAATATTTAGTAGTTGAAGGACAGCAACTGCTAGTATTAGTAATATAACAGAATAATTGTCATCCTTTCATAACTTGGTGTTGGTAGGTTAGGTAGAGATGTTTTCACTTTTCATCTAAATTCTGGCCCACTAAATGCTGCTACTTGGGAATACCCTTTTTGCCATGACTTTCATTAGAGCTTCCCTACATTTTTATAGGATTAGGTCTTATGTTAATAAACTGTCTCATGAATTTAGTCCTTTTTCTGTTAATAACTCCGGTAGAAGTTATCTTGAACCTTTTTTTAGTGTATAGTTCTTGCCTCTTTAGGGGGACTCATCGGGTCTTATACTATTCTTTTGGGCCGTGATTTATATCTATTTCAAAAAACAAATTGAATGAATTCCAAGGCTTCTGTGAGAAAAAGGGAGGGAAATTTTCATTTTTTTTATATGCTTTGAGGGCATGGTTAGCTGTACCAATACTTCTATGCTGCATGAGGTGCAATATCCTTCATTAGATGCTTAACAGTATTGTGCTTCCTCGCAATTACAAGATGTCTTTGTAGCAACTTAGTCACATGTCAATCTAGTACGATTTTATGTATCCTATGCTGACCTATTGTAGAAGGTTTTACAATTCATAAATCATGTCTTCATTTCGAGTATATGGATGGTACAAAATGTAGAAGGTTTTGCGCAGGGGAGTATTCATCCTTACATTTTAGTTTGTTAAAATCATGATGTACTCCATCCAGTCTCAAATAAAAGAAAGCAAATAAACTCTGATAGTCCAAAATGTAAGCAAATCTTAATTAATTTCACCGCATTTAACAAAATAATTTCCAAAACATCATTTATTTTATTCAAATTTTATTTTCAGTAACTTCTTTGATAAGACTCTTGTGATATCAACCAGAATAGTTGGTTTGCACCAGTTTTTCATGTTGTGCTGCTGTCCTGTTTTGTATTTTGTTATTCCTCAATATTGTTGTATTTTAATATATTTGTGCTATAGAGAAAACCTCAAATTTCCAGCTGAGTTATGATTATTTACAGACAGCTTCCACCACTGCTGAGAGCGAATTACAACCTACACATCCTATTCGTTTGGGTCTGGCTCTAAATTTCTCTGTGTTTTATTATGAGATAATGAATTCACCTGAAAGGTATGTGGAAATATTTGTGCTAATGAGAGGAAGAGAAGGCACAGATCCTTACTTTGTGTAACTTATTTTCAGGGCCTGCCATCTTGCAAAGCAAGCCTTTGATGATGCTGTCTCAGACCTGGAAAGCCTGAATGAGGAATCTTACAAGGACAGTACCTTGATCATGCAGCTGTTGAGAGATAACCTTACTTTATGGACTTCCGATATCCCTGAAGAGGGTGGTAAGATATAGATATCACATAATACAATTTTTATTTCTTCCAAATTCATAGTGTTTCAGTATGGCAAAAAGTCTTACATTGTTTAAAAAGTCAAGGACAATGATAGTTTATAAATACTGTCCTCCCTTAATCCATTGAAGTGTTTTTTTAAGAACAAAATCATGATAATTCAACAAGTGTCAAAGTAAAAAATACTTTGGATGTATTAATCCTAACTATGCCAACCAACATTATGTCATAACAAACACATAGGATCTCAAGATTCCAATGATAGCTTAACTATTGACTTTTATCCCAATTCCACTTCAAATCTTAAATTCTTTCCTTCAAATTACATCTTCTCTTTTCCCAGGATTTGGTTGCTCCATATTTGTATATTAGTATTTAGTATTAACCTATTTGGATACAAATTAAAAATGTTTTTGAGAGTTTTTCTATTGGAAATAGTTCTTTATTTTCAGCAAAGAGTCTGCCAAAAACTCTTTTAAATTTGTATCCAAACATGCTCAATATGATATTTGTGGAAGCAAAAAATAGAGTGAAGCTAGCCAAACCAAATATCTTAGTTTTTAGTTAAAGTTCTAATTGGATCTGATTCCTCTAGAGTGAACAACTTGCTTAGAAGGGAAAATAAGTAGTCTCTATCTTTGATAAATAAAATAAAATAAAATTGATGGCTGATATTACATGCACATGCATAACAAATCATGAATGTATTGGATTATCAATTGTTGATATTTTAATTAACAACTGAGATTGCTTTACCTTTACTCACTTTATAGAAGATAAATCCATTTTAAATGTTAGTTATTTTTGTTGGGGGTGGTAGCTCAAACTTTTCTTGGTGGAGTTTATATATATATATATATACGTGGAGTTTTTAACTTTTCTTAGTTAAAAATTAAGTCTACCTAGACTTATTCCGTTCAATAACTCATGTTCTACATTAAATTTCAATGATCTAACCGTTAAATTTAAAGTTCTTAATGCATAGATCAAATCTGTAAATTTTAAAAAAATTTGAAAACCATTTTGATAATTCGTTTTATTAATTTAAAAATGAAGTATAAAATAATTTTCAATTTTTTTTAAAATTTGCAAATTTGATATATGCATTAAAAGTTTTAAATTCAATGGTTAGATAATGAAATTTGATGTAAAACATAAGTTATTGAACGAATTAAGTTTAGATAGATTTATTCTAGGAGTAAACGGATCTCATATATATATATATATATATACAAATAAAGATAATATTATGTTTAATATTATACAAAATTAGGTGTTACATTTTAAT